AGTTCATCATCTTCCCTCGACGCACCCACTTTTGAGAGAGAAGAATTGCGTCGATTGTTGTATGGATTCGGTGTTGGTTCGGATGACCGGGAACGTGGTATCTTGCCCGTGTTCATCGCGTACCTCCGACCGTCTCATCTCGCTACCGACCTTCCCCATCACAGATGACGACAGCGTCTACTGCGATGCGGACGTACGGCGCGCGCTGAGGCGGACGGAGCAAGTGTGTTGGCAAGACCCGCCTCGAGCGTGTGATATAAGGGGGAGCGGGTTTGTCCTGATTGATCGTTTTGATTCCCCGACTCTAATATTGCCTTACACGGGTTTAACGGTGTTGCCCTGGTCGGCCGCTCATGCCGCGTGGCGGCCGCAGTTTGATTGTCGCTGGTGTCGCCAGGGGGACTCGTGTTCTTAGCGACGGCTGGTCCTGGGTTACGAGGGAGCAACACGTTTCCCCGAGCTTTCCCGTAGTGCGGGGACGCTGCCCGCGCAATTTCGAATTCGGATGCCGACGAGTCCTCCCGCCGCGTTACCCTCCCGGAAATTTTCGCGTGGACTCTGTGAGTCCGGCGCCAAGGCTTGACGGCCTCGAACCAACCACCTCTACAACAAAGACCTGAGGGTTCGGCCACTTTGTGAGAACCGAGGATGAGGCCTGAAGGCTTCGAACCCACCACCTATCCCCCAAACCCCTGATGGCCGAAGTTTTGTCTTCCGCCGCCATGCCCCCCCCCCTCCCCCCCTTAATGCCTTTTCCCGTCCTGATGCACGAGGACAGTTCGTTTTTGCGGAAACCTTTTTGATTTTATCGTCTCGGAGTGATCCGACCCCCACGGGACTTCGCGGCGACAGTTCGACTCCGGGGAAAACCTCTGGCACAAAACGAGGGCCTCCCGTTCCGTCCGGGAGACTCAACCCTTACGACCAAAAATCCTCGGCCATGCCCCTCCTAAAACTCTGATCGGCGACCCCGTACGAGACACCGCGAGGGGGCGTGAGGTTGGTATCAGAGCTGATTCGTTTCGGCTCCGAGGTTTTCCTAGGTCGATTACCCTGTTTTAAAGTCTCTCCTTTTTTTTCTTTTTGATCTTTTCATTAGATTTTTCGTATTTTTGAGTAGGCTGGCTCCCCGTCGACGGAGGCCCGCAAATAGCAATCAAAACCAAGCGAGAGGCCGGGCTCGAAACCTGCCTCCCGCGATGGTGGAACCCCGTAATTGGGGGTGAAAACGACGACGACAACCACGCGGGGATGACCAATCATCCCCTGTACTTTGTACCTCCTCCTTCCGAAGTTCCCATTTTCTCTGAAGACGACACCGACCCTCGCACCTGGCTAGCTTCCTTGAAAGCCCAGGGCTGGTCGGATCAGTTGCTCCGAGAACGAATTCCCGGAAGGTTAGCTGGAACTGCGTTTGAGTGGTATGGACATAACCTCTTCACCAATTGGGCAGCCTTTTAGAGGAAATTCCTCGATAGGTTTGATCACATCGCACAAGGTCAATGCCTCCGTTTAATAAAGCAATACACGCAGCAGCCTCGGGAGACCTTGGCCAGATATGCTGAACGTTTTACGTACTTAGCCAAATGCTCTGGGGTGGACGAGAAAATGGTACGGACTGATTTCGTCAGAGGACTGTCAGATTCTCGTCTGCAGAAAAAGATCCGCAAGAAATGCAACCCTATAGAACATACCCTGACGGAGCTAATTAAGTATGCAATTAAGTACGGGAAAGAAAATTACGATGTGGGCCTGGACTCAGAATCCGACGAAGATGACCCTTCGGGTGTTCGACGCAATAGCTACTCCGCTACGGCACGAATGTTCGAAGATCGCTTCGGGTTGGGTCCGACCAAAAAAGGCATGGATCGAAAAGCGTCTTCCTCTGCTTCGGCCTCCCGTCGCCTTAGTCAAGCACAAGGAGGCCGGGGTGAGGAAGAAGTGTCCATGAAGGAGGTCGCGGCCCAATTAGTTACGGTAGTGGCCCCGTTGAGCGGCAACGCCTAGTCGCCGCACAACGGCAACAAGCGGCTATGGCCGTCGGGGCCCCTATGATAAGACCGGCCGTGGCCGGGGCTGTCCAGTCCCTACGTTGTTATAACTGCAATCAGCTAGGTCACCTTGCGAAAGATTGCCCGAAACCTCAAGCTCAGGGTGGGCCCGCTGGACCTTCCCAAATCCCATTGGCTGCTCCAACCGCTGCAGGACAGGGGAGGGTGGCCACGGTGATGGATACCGGGGCAACGGAAATGGTGACCCCTGCGGCCACCGAAATAGGGCCCGATGAATACATGGCTGCGGCGATGTTCGAACCCGGGACCATTGGAGTGATACGTCACGTCCAACGAATTACCGAGGAAAGCGATCTCGGGCCGTGGAGACCAGGGTTCGAAGACCTTGCGGCGCCTGGTCCTGAATACAAGGATGGCCATATCGACGTATTGGATGCCTTGAAGACTCTGGATCTTCGGATCCCCGTCCCTATTCCCTATCTGCTAACCATTTCCGAAGCGGCTAACGAAAAATTAATCGAACGATGCCTCAAAAACAGGCGCCGATTCGAGGAAAGTCGAAAGGGCAAAAAGCCGGTCCTACGGGACCTACCCACAAACGATGAGTCGCAGCCCTCGACCTCAAAGGTGCACGAAGACGACCGAATAGTAATGATCCAGACCGTGACTCCGCCTCGGAAAAACCTGAGGTATTCCTCCGAGCCTATCCTATAACCTGGAAAAACGTTGAGTGTGATTGCGAGGTCTGGGGAAATCCCTCGACCGCCATCCTAGATTCGGGATCGTCAGCGGTCGCCATTTCTTGGAGGTTGATGAAACAGTTGGGAAGGGAGGGGCATGTTCAGCCCCTCCGACCGGATGAGCTGTATATATCCGCTACGGAAGATAGTATTCATTGTAAAGGGTCAATAACGAACGTGCCTATATGGGTGGGGCGGGTGCATTGTTTGTGTGACGTGATCGTGTTGGATGTACAGGCATATGATGTTCTGCTAGGCATTCCGTGGCAGGCGGCGACCGGAGCGCGAATGCACTTTGACAGCTGTAAGGTGGTGCTCACATCGGCCCACCCCAAACCCCAAACGATACCAATGAGACTGGCGGTGCGCATGCGTACCCAGCCGGCGCCTCGCCTCACCACGAAAGCCCATCAAATCAACACGATCCGACGTCTGTCACCAGACGAAAATGAACCCTCGACGGAAACTGACTAGACTAATGTACCCGACCGATATCCGATCCGAGTTCAGGATCGGTGGCGCCATTCTTGGCGGCGAGAACCACTGGAAATAGTTCGGAGCGAGTCCAATTGGTCGCACGCGTTCTCCTCCGTGGTGCAGGGGGAACCCCTGCTGAGGGTGTCCCGAATAGCTGACCTATCGGAACCCCCTGCGTCCTTGTATCTCAGGACGGACCCCCTACCTGAAAGATTTACCGAGCTGAGGGGGCTGTGCGATTTATCTTTTCAACCCCCACGGCCCCTACTCACGAATGAAAAAGCCGCGATACTCCTGAAAGAGGGGGTGTCGTTTCAACCCCGAACAAGGGAGTATCGGTGGGGACCGAGGGAACTGGCGCAGGCCTTTTCGGTCGAACCCTCGGTCGAACCCGAACTGGATAGTGATAGTGACATGGAAAGCGAGCCGATGAGTCCGGCGGACAGTCGACTCATTGCGACTTTCCTTTCGGCGAAAACCGACAACTCCTTGTTTGGGGCCTCGCCCGATGCCAGCGCAGCGGTCCCCACGGTTACGACGACGGTCTCCCTTCCTGGGGGAACCGTGGAAGTTCAGTTACCAACCCGTGTTCCGGATGAATACAGACGCCTCCTCCTGGCGGTTATACGGACCTATCTTGAGGCCGTCAGTATTCAGGACCACGACATAGGGCTAACCCCTTTGATACAGCATGCGATTGATACCGGGGATCACGTCCTGATACATTGCCGACCGTACCAATATTCCCTTAAAGAAAGACAGCTGGTTTTGGAAAGGGTACGGGAATTCGAGCGGTTGGGGTGGGTCGAACCATCGCTGGGACCGTGGTTTTTTCCCGTGGTCCTCGTGCCAAAACGAAATGGTTCGGTCCGGGTATGTATTGACTACCGGAAATTGAACGCCATTACTACCAAAGATGTGTATCCCTTGCCGCGAATCGATGATTTGTTAGATGCTATCGGGGTCGCTCGAGTCTTTTCCACGTTCGATATCCGATACGGTTTTCACCACGTCGCAGTCCGACCGGAGGACCGACCCAAAACCGCTTTTGTCCTATTTGAGGGCACGTGGCAATGGGTCCGGTGTCCCATGGGAATTTGTAACGCCCCTGCAACGTTTCAGCGGGCCATGAATATGGCCTTCACTGAGTTCGTTAACAAAACCCGTCTAACCCAGCCCCTGATCAATTTCTGCGTGATTGTGTACATGGATGATATTTTGGTTTTTTCAAAAACACACGAGTACCACGTGGAACATATTGAGTGGGTTTTGCATGCACTGAAAGATGCGGGGTTCAAAGTGGCCTTGGAGAAAAGCGAGTTCTTATTGTCAGAGATCTCATTCTTGGGGTACATCGTCACGGTCGATGGACTAAAACCGGATCCGAGGAAGGTGGCAACACTTCAAGACGCCCCGACGCCGGTCACACTCACCCAGGTTCGGGCTTTTCTAGGGCTGACATCCTATTACCGACGCTTCATCAAGGGGTTCGCCGGCATAGCGAAGCCCCTCACGAACCTGCTGAAGAAAGAGGAACAGCTGATCTGGACGCCGGAATGCGAAGCGGCATTGAAGGAGTTGAAGGAGGCTCTGACACCTGTGTTGGCGCGCCCCGACCCGACAAGACCGTTCGCACTGTACACAGACTGGCAGCCTCAGGCGATATCGGCGGTGCTGACTCAGCACGGCAAGGACGGAAGGAATCACGTCATTGAGTATGCGTCCAAGACGCTGAGCCAGGCACAGGCTAATTACGAAGCATGCAAAGGCGAATGCTTGGCGGTGGTGTGGGGGATTCAACACTTTCGACCGTATCTGTACGACCAGAAATTCGTGCTGGTAACGGATCATCAGCCGCTGCTGTCCCTACGCAACAACACGGACTACACGGGGACGCTGGGCAGGTGGGCGGTGCGTCTGCAAGACTATGACTTCGACATCCACCACCGTGTCACGCGACAGCATGGTAACGCTGATGGATTAACGTGCCTTCTGCCGCCCAACAAGTGTCTCACCAACGAGCGACTCATTCCGTGGAGGCCAGAAGTCGCGGCGACAAAACCGCACTACGGGGAGCTACACGTGCTGCGTAAGGTCGATGGCGACGGAGAGTCTAGCTGGTTGACGGTTCCACACCCTCTTGCTAGGTTCAATTGGACACGAGCCGCTCATGAGGAGGATGCGGTCCATTTTGCAGTCAAGTACACGAAAAAAGTCATCGAAAAGAACGGATGGTACTGGTCGGGAATTCGGGAAGATGTGAAATACATCGTTCAGAATTGCCCGGCCTGCGCTGCGAACAAGGCGCCGGTACAGATGCCTCGGACAATGGTGCCCACTCGTGTAGAGCGCCCCTTTCAGAGGGTTAGCATCGATACGACAGATATCAACGTTCCGAGAGGGCCCGTCGATCAGAGAGAACTCAATGTTCTTTTAGTGGCCGTCGATCATTTTTCAAAATGGATCGAGGCGTACCCTATGACCAGCCGGAATTCGCAGGAAGTAGCCTGGTACGTAAATCGATTTTTGTGCATCATCTAGACGTAGAAGAGGTACACATGGACAATGGGTCGGAATTTCAAGGCGAAGTAGAACGTCACCTAGTCAGGGCGGACGTTAAGATTATCTACTCGCCGGGGCATTGGCCTCAAGCCAATGGCCTGGTAGAGAATGCCAACCGACTGATTAAGACGGCCCTTAGACGGAATATCACTGCGGGAGACACCCGACCCTGGCCGGTCATTGTCGACCACATTTTGGCCGTTTATCGGGCTACCCCACACGGTAGTACTGGGGTGTCCCCCTTTCAACTGAGAACCAATAGTGTCCCTTGGGTGCAATTGTCCCCCTTAGTAGGTACGRAAGTTAGAGCAACACGGGCCCAGAATCGAGACAAGGCCCGCCACTACATGGACTTAATGGCTAGGGCCTATCCCCCGTTCGCTCGCCGTCGACAGCAGGCCGTAGATTGGACACATCAACGGCAGATCCGTGACTACGAGAATCGACACGTTGTGGGGAAACCCGGGGAGGGGCGCCTACTGTTCGCTGAAGCCAAGGGTCGCGGCGCCTGTCACTCGCCGCGCCTGCTTCAGAGGTCCTCAGCGACCAGTAGCACTCGCTTTTTTTGTTCTGTGATATCACGCACCCTGTTACTTTTAGTAATTTTGCAGGCCCCCAAACCAGCGAGTTTTAACATCCGACTGCCTGTTCGGGGGAAACACACAATGTTGCATTTCAACAGTCAACTAATTGATCGACACGTTCCCACGGTCGCAGATTTTTGCAGTCAACTGACGAATCATCAAGTTCAAGCCTCAATTAGTTCCTCAATAAACTGAATTTTTTCTCCAAACTCATGTAGCGAAGAATTTACTCAGTCGGCTTTGGATGAACCTCTTCATTGACTTTTCCTTTCTCTCACTGCTCACTGTTTCTGTCTCTCTTACTGTCCTCTCTTTCTGGTCTCTCCCTCTTTCTCTCTGATCACTTTGAGTTCAGGTGTGCCATAATAATAATAATAATAATAATAATAATAATAATAATAATAATAATAATAATAATAATAATAATAATAATAATAATAATGATAATAACAATAATAATCGCAATTGTTATACTTCCCCCTATTCCGCATCTCTGCACTGCAACCTCTAAAACTGGTTTTTAATGCGGATTAGAGGACACTATACCACCAGATTCAAGTTGGGGAGTGGAAACTGCCTTCATTGATGGGGTGCGTTGAAGCGACCAAGTAGTGAATCGCCCGTCAGGTGGCTGCTCGAAGATCCGCACGGGGGTTGGGCGCAATCTCCCAAACAGCAGACACCAGATCTCATCATCAGCAGAATGAGGCTGTGCTTTCCATTAGCGGGATAGCAGGACCAATCATCGGCGAATGTGGCAGTTCCTTTCACTACCGGGATAACGGAACCAATCAACAACAGATTGTGGCCGTACTTCCTATTTGTGGCCAGCAGGTTTGATCAACAGCAAAATGTGATTGTTGGCTCCATTTGTGTGATAACAGGTCTCGTCAACTGATTTGCTTTGATCTTCCTCTCGAGTCACCCGTCTCACAGTCATGAACGTCGTACTTCCCAGGCTATATGCCTGGCGCGCGTCAGGATAAAGTGCGCTATATTCTGACATATCCCCTCTTCAACGCGGTATCCCCCGCTCACATACCCTCAAACCCTCTCTCTCTCGCACGCTGCACGCTCTTTCTCTTTCACATAGCGCATTTCCTCTCTCTCTTCGCGCAGTCCCTCTCTCTCTTACTCTCTCAATCTGGGCACTCACTCGCTCACTCTTAGTGCACACCCCCTCTCTCCATGCACTCCCTCCCCCCCCCTCTCTCTCTCTCTCTCTCTCTCTCTCTCTCTCCCGCTGTTCTCTGTTGCTGTTCTCTCTCTCTCTCACTCACTCTCGCTGTTCTCTCTCTCTCTCTCTCCTGCTGTTCTCTCTTGCTCTCTCTCTCTCTCTCTCTCTCTCTCTCTCTCTCTCTCTCTCTCTCTCTCTCTCTCTCTCTCTCTCTCTCTCT